GGCTGTGCCCCCTCCCAGCTTCTTGTGCACCCGGCAGAGCAGGGGAAGCTGAAAAATCCTTGACCAGTGTGAGCGCCACTTAGCACCTATTTAGCAACACTAAGCACTACTTAGCAAGAACCAAAGCATCAGTGTATCATCAACATTGTTCTCATCCTAAACCCAAAACACAGCCCCATACCGGCTACCAAGACGAAAATTAACTCTATCCCAGCTGAAACCAGGACAACCCCTTTTCTCAGATACATGGTCACATGCTTCATTCAGCAAGATAAGGTTCACAGGAGTTTTTATTAATAGAATATAGGAACCAACGAATATTAAAGTTGCAGTGAAATGGGTTTGAATAAAAGGTTATAAATAAACAGGTTCACAGTACTTACTGCTTATTTAAAGCACAGCTGAACAGCCATCAAGATAAATTCAGAACTGATTGCATCCACTTGAATATCATCTAAAAAAGAATGAATGGTACATGAAAGAATAAGAATTCATGCATGCAGAGCTGTGGGAAATTTTTGGGGAAAAATGTTTTACATGTCATAGCTTTGTTAATCCTTAGGTTCTATCTTTGTAACTTTTGTATGAAGTATATAGTGGGTTTTTGGTCTTTTTTTCCCCTTTCTTTTATCTGAAGGTCTGAACTCCATTCTTTTTGCAATCAACATTGATAATAAGGATTTAAATGGGCAGAGCAAATGCACACCCACTGTGTCTGATTTGTTAAAGGAATCAACGCAAAATGTAACCTCGTTATTGAAAGAATCCACTCAGGGTGTTAGCAGCCTTCTTAGAGAGATAACTGCATCATCTGCTGTCTCGATTCTAATAAAACCCGATCAAGACACTGACCCACTTCCTGTTCTCTCAAAGAATGTAAATGCTGGTAAGCATTTTTGCAATGTTAATGTCATTCAGAAACTTATAAAATATTCAAGTGTGTTTAAATAACTTTTTCAATTAAATTTAATGCACTATTATGGAACAAAAACCTTAAATATAAGTGCATGACACATACAAACTAGTTGAGTATGAAATAAAAAGTATGAAATCTTTTAGAAATACTGGTGTGAGTACTGGATGATAAACGTGTATTTTAGCTTCCTTGTACCACTGTGAGAGGGAAGCTAAACTATCTCATTGGTAAAGTGCTTTGCTTGCGACCTGAATTTTGATTTCGTATTCATAAGATTATGCCTTGCAGTTTCTGATGTAATGATTTTTCATTTTTAATATGTTTTCTTTTGGCACTTTATCAGTCAGAAATACACTGCCATATACCTGTTGTTATATACCAGATAAAAACCTTAGCTTGTAATCTTCTCCAAGCAGCGCCCGTATTTACAGTCTGAATTCCTATATGAAGTAGGTAATTACCACAAATGAAAATGTACTTGTACATTCCTTTTACCTTTAAATGTGTTAGTGTCGCAACCAGTTTGTAGGATGCTAGTTACTTACAAAGACCCGAAGCCTTAATCTCTTAAAATTTGAAATTAATCAAGCAAAACGTGATCTTCCTTATACATTTTCAGTTCCAAAAATAGCAAAGGAATATTTTGTCGTCTTTATTTCCAGAAGTTGAGCTGAAAGAATGTTTTGCTTTGTAAAGGTACAAAACTGCAGGAACATTCTGGGATTTATGTGTTTTTCAGTTAAGAAACAAGGTTTGAGTTTAGGCTTTAAATTGTTTTGGTTATGAGAAAATGGAAAAAAACCCACATGTGAATGCTATCTGGTAGGAATAGAAGTTGAGATAAAGTCTATTTTTGTTGACATTTAAAATAGACTTTGTCTCAAAACACGTTTTTCAAAACAAACTTGTGGTAAACCTATTGTTGTTTAGCACTTCAAATGAGATTAAAATAGTAGGTGATACTTGACTTGGGATAACTTTGTTAGTATAGAATAGGCTTGCAAGATGAAATAACAGAATAATTGACCACATGCTGCACATGACTCTACAGCATCATGTACGTTATGTCTACAGTACATGTGTATATGTAATGTACAACTTACAATAAAATGTCACTTTAAAAAATTCAGGTTTGTTCAAATGCCATTATATGTTGAATGTTAGAGCAAGGCAGATGTTTTCATTAAAGTTTATGTTCTTTGCTGGAATTCTATTTGCATCCAGAATGGGTTTTAACATCTTCTTAGTCTTAAAAGTATGTTAATGTGTTTTGTGGATACATAACAGCTGGACTTGAATTAAACAAAACAGTTTAGTCCCAATGTGAGTTGTCTTGGTGAGTAAGTTTATGATATTTCTTAGAGAGCTTCAACTTTGCAACATCTTTTAGCCTCATGTGCACATCAGAATCAGTGAGGATAGATAATAATTTAAAAATAAGTACTATCACAGCATAGATGTAATCAGAGAGGATTTCAGTGTATTTCTAGACCAAGAGCTAATTAGCTGAGGGAGGGAGCAAGTTTAATTTCTTTTTCTGAACAGTGACTGCTCAATTTCCAGAATACAGACAAAACTAACTTTATTTGGTTGCAAGTTGTGGATTTTGTTTGTTGTGAGTTTGTTCTTTTAAATTTTTTCTCCCCAGAAATGTTTCATGTTTTCTCTGTTGTGTAGACATACTCTGCAATACACACTAGCCATATTTCATGGGACAAAGTGATGGGAAGGCTAACTTTTTATTTTAAATTTCATTTTATAAGTTTGTTGAACTTTTTTTCCCCAGTTCCAATTGAATACTGTTATGAATGCACCTCCAAAATATCTTCTAAAATCTCAATTATGTAAGGCATATAAAATAAAGATGGTAGTTAAAGATTTAAAAGCTCATATATGTGGAAAAATAATGAAATGCCTTGTAGATCTAAGTGTTTTTTTCTTCACTAAACTCATTTAGTACATGAGCTCTTTGAAGAAAAGACCAAGTGTATTACATTGTTTCTCTTTTCTAAACTATGTAAACCTTTATGTTGCTACTAGATTTGAAATATAAAAAAGATCGAAAAAAGAAAAAGAGAGTGACAAATATTATCTCATTTGATGAAGAGGAAGATGAGCAAAATTTGGGGGATGCCACAAAGACTCTGATTACAGGAGAAAGTTCAGAGGAGAGTGTCGACAGATATCTTTTCGCTCGTCTTTTTTCTTTTCCATTGTTTAAACCATTTGAGCCACTGTGGTGATGGCATTTTGCGTCTAAGTTCCACTGAAAACCAAAATTTCAATATTTCATACTTGTTCTCCTTGAAGTTCTCAGCTGTGGAAATTATTGCATGATATAGCCAGTCTATAATTCTGGCCTATTTGAAGTTTCCTTATTCTTTGCATGATATAGCCAGTCTATAATTCTGGCCTATTTGAAGTTTCCTTATTCTTGGTATGATATAGCCAGTCTATAATTCTGGCCTATTTGAAGTTTCCTTATTCTTGGTATGATATAGCCAGTCTATAATTCTGGCCTATTTGAAGTTTCCTTATTTATTGCATGATATAGCCAGTCTATAATTCTGGCCTATTTGAAGTTTCCTTATTCTTGGTATGATATAGCCAGTCTATAATTCTGGCCTATTTGAAGTTTCCTTATTCTTGGTATGATATTAATTCTATTTTGGCTTCACAGTAAAACCACATGTTTTAAACAGAATAAGCCTGTTATCATCAGAGTAGGTAGTTAAACAAGACAAGACAAAACTGAGAGAAAAAGAATAATTTTAGATACTAATATGCCCTCTTTATTTCTGACACAGAAATACCTTTGGAGAAAAAAAGGCAAGCACTGCTTGTATAATCTGCTTTGGAATGGTCTGATCTTTAATGAATTTGTGTATGTCTGAACCAAGAAATTGGCAGGCAGGTTGAAATATGCATTTGTTTTTTCAGTGATACCTCTGAAAGAAATATAAGCATTGTGAACATGAATATTGACTGTATAAATAGGTTGGTTTGTTTGTTTTAAATCTAGGCCTCATGAAATAGGCACATGCAATTCTCAGATATGCAGCTGGACTCCTCTTCAGGTCCTGAATGATGACTCAGATGTTCTATTTCCTGTCAGTGCCGTTGGCTCTTACTCGCAAACAGGTAGGTATTCTAATTTACCAAATTCCAGCAAACTTTATAACAGAATTTCTAACATGGGGCAATGGTGAGAAATAATGGGATTGTAAGAACATAGGAGATATTACACAACCGGGATGGGAGATTCAATTAAAATTTATTCTAGATCTGAATCAGAGTTTTCCATTTGAGTAGATATTTAGTTGAGGATTTATCAATGTCAAAATAAACCAAGAGTTTTGTTGGGATTAAGCTGTGGTCTTGCATGGTATTCTATTAATGTTTAGGATGCTTGCATAGAAAGTAAAGTATCCCTGTTTGTTTTCTAGATATCTCTAAGCTGGAAGAAGCTGCAAGTGTGTTTGAGAATTTGAATTCAAATTAACCTTGACAGATTGGAGAAAAGATCAAATATTGGATGCAGTTCAATAGAAGCTGTTATCTGTTTATATACGGGATGAAGAATGATTGTCTAGGAAATGCTTCTTCAGGAAAGGATATAGGAATCATAGAATGGTTTGGGTTGGAAGGCATCTTCAGAGATGATCTAGTCCAGCCCCTTGCCATGGGGAGGAACATTTTTCACTAGACCAGGTTGCTCAAAGCCCTGACCAACCTGACCTTGAACACTTCCACTGATGGGGCATCCACAAGTTCTCTGGGCAGCCTGTTCCAGTGTCTCACCACCCTCATCGTAAAAAAAAAAAAAAAAAAAAAAAACAT